TCGCCGAGGGAGACCCTGCGGGGAAGTTCCTCGCCGCTGCCTTTCGCCCGAACAAGCAGGCGGACCTCGGTGCTTAGGCGAAGAAGGCAGGGAGGGCATCCCCCCCCCTCCCGCGGGCTTTCTCGGTGCGGACCAAGACTTAGGCAGGCAGCCACGCCGACGGCGGCAAAGGGGGCAACCATGAGCGCCGACTACGACGTGGTCGTGATCGGGGGAGGCATCTCAGGTCAGTGAACTTCAGGCGGTTCTCTTCTCCCTCCCTCCCCCCGCCACAAAAAAAGCGCCCCGGCGGCCGCCCTTTCCCCTTTCTGGACGGCTGGGAGGCAAGGCGGGAAAAAAGTTGTGTCGGGGCGCGTCGGACGGTGGCGGTTCACGGGTCCTAGGGCGCCCGCTGGAAAACAGGGAGCGCTCGGCGGGTGGTTTCCTCGAAAGGAGGCGGCGAGTGGTTGTCGTAACTCTCCGACGCCAGCCTCCGCGCGTCTAGGGGGCGCCTACGAGGCAAGTGTCCCCTGGGAGTGTCGGCGTCAAGTGTCCCTGGGAGCGTCAGCCCTCCTCACGTCCACGGGTCGGCCCGCCATAAGGGTCTCAGGTTTTTCAGGTGCCGCCAAGCCTGGTGTCTCTCTCTCACACACACACCAGTTCCCCTGTTAGTTTTTCGACACACTCAAGTTCCCTTTCGGGCATGACATGTACTTTTCACCCTTTTTCGCTGCCACCAGAGGATATGTACCTCTCTGCACCAAATATGACTATTAGATCAGTGTTGTCCAATATAACAACGTTTATTTATGGGTTTGTAGGGAAATCATATAAAGAAAATCGTGGATGGTCTTTTATTCTTCATTCAATAAACGTTGCTTTGATTGCTTTTATGTTTGCTTATGTAGATTCACTTTAATCATGGTATTTATATATTCAACCATTTATTTATATCTTAGCACTTTTAACTCTTTCCAATCTTAACCACATAAACTTTCCAACACTTGTCCTATTCCTATCTATCTCTCTATTGCTCTTCTCTCTAACACAACCATGGCGCTAACTGCCTAAACTGTCCTAACTGTCTTTTTTGCTCTCCTTTTGTTTTCCTGTTTCCGCCCCTCCTGTCATGTCATTGGCTCTCACATCGGAGCTCTGACCTGACTGACAGGAGTGTTCTGAGAGCTGTCCATCACACCTGGTTTTTTCTGCAGCTGATCGACAGGATGAATAATCAGGTCGATGGGGTTACCCCACCTCATCGGATCTTCTTGTATTCACAGTTACAATATAAGGATGAACTTGTCCCCAATCCCTCAATCTGCCTTTATGGAGGAAATACTTTGTATTTCTGTGCTTTTGTTTGCCTACCTGTCAGTTCCCCGTAAACTAGTAAGAACTTGCCTTTGAGGAGAGATGCATTGGGTCGCAGTGCTGGCTTTTCATACAGGTTGATGACTGTCGGAATGGAAGGGTATTGAGAGAGGGTGTGGGTTGTTTGCTTTTTGCAGTGCACATTGTGTCAGCTTGATTCCTTGGCTACTTGCCCTAGAATTGCTTTTACCTTGTCAGCTTTTTTCCTGCTACCTTCTAGTCACGTTATATATTGCCCTCGGTTGACTTCAAGGGATCGTCTTGTCCCTGTATTGCAGGCTGTATTTGGCAACTCTTTCAATCTTGTGTGTGTGTGTGTGTGTGTGTGCGTGTGTGCACCATCAATTTGGATTTATGACAACCCTAGTGGTTTCTAAGCAATGTGAGATATTAAAGACCTCTCCTTAGATATCTCAACATTGCTTAGAATACACTAGGGTGCCGAATTTTACCTAATGTGTTTCCATGGCTGAACAAGAATTTGAACCCACATCTCATAACTCCTCGTCCCAACACTCTATGTACTACTACGCCACACTAGTTCAGTTTATCCACTACTACTGCTACTACAGTGGAGAGCAGTGCTAGTGAGTAGTCTAGGCAAGAGAGAAGCTAGGCAGGTATTTAGGCACTGTTTAAGAGATGCAGAAAAATCAGTATGTTTGGGATTAAAATCTTCCTGCTCTGAAAGATAAAAACAGTTGTCTCTGAAATGGGATTTTAACCTAAACTTCGTTGGGCTGCCTGTTTCTTCCAGGAGAGTAGTTTCTTGATGAGATCTGTTGCCTTCACCTAAGGCTGAAAAAATCAGGTTCTTACCTTTGGACTTGTGCACACCAGCCAAGCACTTAAGGATGCTTTTAAAAATGACTTTCAGACTGTAATTTCCATACCTTATTGCCAGAATTTTATGGCAGTGGGTGAGGTCCATCTGTCATGTTCCATTTGTAAGCTTTCTGTGTCTTCCCAGTGCTTCCCCCCCACATTAAGAAGCAAAAGGCAGAATAGGCACATGTGCCTTTGAATTTTGGCACTGGTTGCCCCATTTCAAATACAAGTTTGCTAAACAAGGTTTTTTTATATTATTTCTGTGGATGTTCAGATGTGGATGGTGTGCCATAGAGAACACCTATGTCATCCAAGTCTACAGTGGTATTGCACTGTATGCCACCCAAAGAGGTTTTATCAAAGAACATTTGAATCAGGTGACAAAACGTATCTAGGAAAGCTATTTTTTTAAAAAAGAAAACAGATAAAGAGTGCAGTGTGATGCCTGGGAGTAAGCCTTATTGAACTCTGTGAAACTTATACTCTGAGTCGATATACAGGAGATTACACTGCAAGACTGCATGCAAGTACTTATGCAGAAGTAAGCCTGTCATGAATTCACTGGGCCCTACTTCTGAGTAACTGGCTGATAGTCAGTGGTTGGGAGTTTGATTTTCTGTTTTGCCTCCTTGGAGAAAAGCTAGACTCTGTGGTCTTGTGCAAGCTGCACAGTTACAGGATGCTCCCAGCAGAAGGAAATGGTAAACTACATTTGTGTACTCTTTACCTAGAAAACCCTGAAAAGGGTCACCATAAATTGAGATCAATTTGACAGCATGCAATTATTTTTATTACTTCTGAGTAAATTTATACATAATATTTGACTATAAAGTTTTTTAATGGAGCTAATTAATTTTATAGCTTTTTAAAAATCCTATATATTTAGCCTTTGTTTTTGAACTAACCTTTTGGAACACAAAGAATTTGTTGTGTTAGCCAAGGCAGCAAAGGCTTATAGTAACAGCTTTGTTGCTGTTCTTCACTACCAGTTGGCTGTATCGCATTGCTTTTTGGATGCTTGCCACTGCTAGTGTGTGTGGAAAATCTTTGATTGTGCTCTGAAACTGCCCTCTCTCCCATCTTGTATCTCAGTAAACTATCAAGAATCGAGCAAATGTCTGAGGAAGTGGACTTGATCTGCAAAAACTCAGATTAAAATATAGCAGTTAGTCTTTAAGTTGCCACACTGATTTTGTCTTATTGCTTTCCTGTTTGTTTGTTGGGTGTGGGGTTTTTTCCTGATATACCAGGAGTCGGACATCCTATTCAGTCTGACAGCGGTATTTATCATTCTAACGTAAAGCATAAAAGATTTCTTAACTGGTAACAAAAGAAGCGAGTCATAACAAGATATAGGCATGGCCTCTTAAACCGTTTTCAGTGCCAGATCTTGAACATACAACATGTAGAAGAATAATGAAGATTAAAGGAAAGGCAGTAGTGGTGATGAATAATCTATAAGCTTTACTTTATTTGGGGGGGGGATCAATCAAGATTTACTTTATCTGGAAAAAAAAAACAACCCACAGGATGGAACAGTACACATAGGAATGACAGAGTTAATACAGTATTTTGTCAGCAAGATCTAGCAGAAGTTAAAGAGTATGAAACAAAAAGTTGCAGAAAGCTGAGCACGTTGGAGCAGCACTGAGGATTTATCCAGCTATGAGTATATAGGAGGGTTTAAAGTTACTATGCTAGAGGGAAGGAAGACTGGAGGAACGGGTGTGGTGATTCACTCCCATCTGAGTTGTAGATGGATGTGAGTGTGATGGCATTGTAGCCTCCCCAAGCTCTTGCTGGTAGAATGGAAATGTCAGCAGAACTCTTTTCCTCCTCATAAAATTTGCAGAAGCTACTGTTTTGGGTGACAATCCCCAGAACCACCTTCCAGGTCTAGTTAGAGTAGGCATGCTTTGAGTTACTTCCAGATTTGCTTTCATGCCATGTGCATGGTGGAGGACTAAGACAGTTATGGGACCTGCTACATGAGGCACTGGAGAAAAATATTTTTGCACACCCGTTTCTTTGCATTTACATCTTACTTACAATTCTGCTTCCTGAGGATGAAGGGGTATGTGTCTTTGAGTAAGCAAGATGGGGGGCAGAAACAGAGAGAGAGACTTTATGATGCAATTTTTTAAATGGCATTGCTCAGAATTTGGTGTGTGTGTGTGTGTGTGTGTGTTTATATTTTTCCAAGTGGTCACGCAGGTGGATAGGGCTTCTCCCCTTCCTCACCCCAATTATGTTTGTCATATCTACATCTACTAGCAGCTGGATAGCACAGTGACCTGGATTGAGCAACAGTCAGATGTTGGATCCCCACTTTGTCTTGTAGGAGATGAGCTAGCCTGTGGCAAGCTGCAGAGTCCCGGAATGCCCCCAGAAGAAGGGACTAGTAAAACTCTTCTGAGTACTGTATCCCTAGAAAACTCTGGAAAGCATCACCTTAAGTCAGAACTGACTTGGGGGCACATAAGCATGTTATGTACAAATGTCTCCATAATGCATACAGAAAATTTGCAATATCCTTAATAGTGTGAGAAGTCAATCCATTGTGAAGCTCGCAGAAGAAAAGCAGTCACTTCTTAGTGCAGAAAAACTCCTATGTGGAAACAGCCTAAGGGCCAAGTTACAGAGTACTGTATATTGGAAGAGCCATGATTATCCTGTTCTGTTAAGTACAATAGTGTGCATTGTGGAAACATGTTATATGCATTTAAACATCTTGATATATGATATGCATCTAAATTTTTACAATTTGTTACTTATATTCATAGTTCTTCCATGTTGTTTGCCTTCAGAGCTTATTTCTGTAAGTGGATCTTTTATTTCTTTACAGGAATGTTGGGATCAGGGTGAAGAGGACAGAGTGAGATATGTACCTGGTACTGAGTATATCCAACTAAATATTATTTAATAAAAGTAGAGACACGAGGAATGTAGCTTAATGATAATGGACCTTCTGCTGATAAAGCTGACTGTAGGGGGGAAAACATGTTTTCGAGGGTATAAATACAACTTGTTTATAATCATTGTCAG